TTTTTTTTCATTCATGACGCATTTTTGCTACTAACAAGGTGCTATTAAAATTTTGTGCCTTATTTAATAAATCATTGATTTACGCTTTTACTTGTTTCTTTTAACCAAGAACAGAAGACATACAGTTACCAAGTTTGTTCAAAACAGACCCCTTGGGTCAAAATTGGAGTCACACCCATTTAATTCAGTTATCGTGTTCACAGGGTCCAACAATAATAGAATTACCAAGGGGAATAACTATGTAAGTTATGGTCAAATTGGTCCGGTATTCAAACTCATTCAAGATCTCATTGATACAAAGCTGCATACAAAGTTTCATCAAAATCGGTTCACATTTTCCTGAAGTTATTGTGTTCACAAGGAAAAATTAATGGACGATGCAGCAAGGTCACTCGGACCGACGAAAAGTATGAATTGGCCCCTGGATGACTGTCCTAATTTGAATCGGATGTCAGGTGACCGTTAAGGCCCATGGGCCTCTTGTTTATTTTGTAAATACAAGGAAGAAGTAAATATATATACCCATAAACCGTATGAGTGATGAAGTATAACCTCTATTTTGATGTTTCAAACGGGAACGTAATATGACACATCGTGCTTAGGTTCATGACGGTAATGGCTCTGAGACGAGACGATCTGTGAACTGTGTATACTTATCAAACATTTCTATAACACAGCATGCTATTTCTGGTGTATTTATTTATGAAAATGTAACAATTTAAGAACATGACACAACTGCCGCTGCTGTTTGACAAGAATTCGCACGGTGTCAAAATATTATCCAATCCGGTGTAGGGGAAATAACTCTTACGTTGGTAAAGTCGCATTGAGAAATATAATTCAAATATATTCCAAGAACATTTGTGAGATTTTGTGATGAATTGTATATTCAATTACAGTAAATATAGTCACTACATATATTAATAATTATTATTAATATGAATAAAAAATAAATATAAATAAAAGGAGTACAATGCCTCTTTTCTACATGCATGTTTTCCCACTACTGTTTATTATCCTTCATTTCACAAACACAAGATGCACCTATTCTTTATTACCCATTCACCGATTGCGATTCTGCACGTAAATGCTCATGTCACATCATTGGAGGATGCTAATTAATGAAAATTACAACAATGCGTCGCAAAAGAGTGTGAAAAAAGAGGAGAGGGAGAAATGTTTTTAAGGCATCATTTAAGTGGTGATTGATTTTGGAAATTCCAAAGGCAACATCATCACATGACCTGATTTTCAATTGGCAAAATACAGAACACATATCTGAGGTATTATAGTAGATATTGATGCTCAACGTGTTACTGAAGCAATTAAATTTAAAGTGGTGAGCCGCTTTGCTGTCACACTGACATAATTCTAGTTTTATGTTATTATGAAGCAAAGTTATTCATAACTTAAAACCTAAGGTCCAAGTAACGTGGTTCAAAGGTTCAAGGTCAAGTTTTGTTTCACTGATAAACTTTTTGTTACGATATTATGAAGCAAAGTTGGTCGGAATTAAAGAATAAGTCGTCTGACCAAAGATCAGGGTCACTGGGTTAAAGGTCCAGGTCATTTGAGGACAAAGGTCAAAGACAAAGTGGATCTCTGACTTTGACCCTGGCTCTTGATGGAGGAGGTATATAAGGTGAAATAAAACAAATCAAAGCTAACAAATGAGTATTGCACCGGTATTTACATTTCTGTTAGCCAAGCAAATATGGAGGTGGAAGGAAATCATAGTACATGTAAAATGTATATTTTACTTCCTTGCTATTCTTTTTGAAGTCCAAATGTCAAACGTCAAGCTCAGCTACATTGTATATGGGCAGATTGCTTCTTGATGATTATGGGGAATATATTGCCACAAGAGGGGGCCCTTACTGACATGTCAGTGTTCTAGTTTCTTGTACAGCAATATGTAACAGTTAACTAGTTTACTGTCTATTTCTTTAAAAAAAATAACAATTGGCACTATTCAGATTGAATTTTTCTACACTGTCAAGGTAAAGTGTCAAACACTTGATCACTTTGGAAGGTCTTTGTCTGACCCGTCCACTTTGTTTCTATTTGAATGAGTTCTGTCTGATTGGTATTAGCTTGAGAAAGCTTGGGAAATCATTTTTAGCTGAAATTGTTTTTCTTAATTAGTGTAACTTGATACGTTTCAGCTTGAGAAAGCGGGGGAAACCTACCGGAAGATAAAACGGCCAATTGAAGGCAGTCGCTGTTATGAACAGCTTGGACATTTCAACCTGGCGATCGACACGCTGTGTGAGAACGAGTACTATGATATGGCTATAGACACACTCTGGAGATACAACAAACTGCTAGAGGTAAGTGGTCTCCAGGTAAGGGAGGCAATAACAAACTGCTAGAGGTAAGTGGTCTCCAGGCAAGGGAGGTAACACTAAACTCCTAGGGGTAAGTGGTCTCTAGGTAAGGGAGGCAACAACAAACTGCTAGAGGTAAGTGGTCTCAAGGTGAGGGAGGTAACAACAAACTGCTAGAGGTAAGTGACCACCAGGTAAGGGAGGTAACAAAAAACTCCAAGGGGTAAGTGGTCTCTAGGTAAGGGATGGTATCAAAATAAAATTCCTAGAGCTAATTGGTCTTCCGGCCAGGAAGGGTAACAACAAACCCTTAGAGGTAAGTGGTTTCCAGGCAAGGGAGGCAACAAAAAACTGCTAGAGGTAAGTGGTCTCCAGGTAAGGGAGGGTAACAACAATCTGCTAGAGGTAAGTGGTCTCCAGGCAAGGGAGGGTAACACCAAACTGCTAGAGGTAAGTTGTCTCCAGGCAAGGGAGGGGAACAACAAACTGCTAGAGGTAAGTGGTCTCAAGGTGAGGGAGGTAACAACAAACTGCTAGAGGTAAGTTGTCTCCGGGCAAGGGAGGGTAACAACAAACTGCTAGAGGTAAGTGGTCTCCAGGCAAGGGAGGCAACAACAAACTTCTAGATGTAAGTGGTCTCCAGGCAAGGAAGGTAACAACAAACTTCTAGATGTAAGTGGTCTCCAGGCAAGGAAGGTAACAACAAACTGCTAGATGTAAGTGGTCTCCAGGCAAGGGAGGGTAACAACAAACTACTAGAGGAAAGATGTCTCCAGGCAAGGGAGGTAACAACAAGCTCCTAGAAGTGAGTGGTCTCCAGGCAAGTGAGGGAACAACAAACTGCTAGAGGTAAGTGGTCTCCAGGTAAGGGAGGCAACAACAAACTGCTAGAGGTAAGTGGTCTTCTGGTAAGGGAGGGTAACAACAAACTGCTAGAGGTAAGTGGTCTCCAGGCAAGGAAGGGTAACAACAAGCTTCTAGAGGTAAGTGGTCTCCAGGTAAGGGAGGCAACAACAAACTGCTAGAGGTAAGTGGTCACCAGGTAAGGGAGGGTAACAACAAGCTTCTAGAAGTAAGTTGTCTCCAGGCAAGTGAGGTAACAACAAACTGCTAGAGGTAAGTGGTCTGCAGGTAAGGGAGGGTAACAACAAACTGCTAGAGGGAAGTGGTCTCCAGGTAAGGGAGGGTAACAACAAACTGCTAGAGGGAAGTGGTCTCCAGGTAAGGGAGGAAACAACAAACTGCTAGAGGTAAGTGGTCACCAGGTAAGGGAGGGTAACAACAAGCTTCTAGAAGTAAGTTGTCTCCAGGCAAGTGAGGTAACAACAAACTGCTACAGGTAAGTGGTCTTCAGGTAAGGGAGGGTAACAACAAACTGCTAGAGGTAAGTGGTCTCCAGGTAAGGGAGGGTAACAACAAGCTTCTAGAAGTGAGTGGTCTCCAGGCAAGGGAGGTAACAACAAACTTCTTGAAGTAAGTTGTCTCCAGGTAAGGGAGGGTAACAACAAGCTTCTAGAAGTAAGTGGTCTCCAGGCAAGGGAGGTAACAACAAACTTCTTGAAGTAAGTTGTCTCCAGGTAAGGGAGGGTAACAACAAGCTTCTAGAAGTGAGTGGTCTCCAGGCAAGGGAGGGTAACAACAAACTGCTAGAGGTAAGTTGTCTCCAAATAAGGGAGGTAATGTGTGATAATCCTGATGTCAGAATTAGAGGTAAGTGGTCTCCAGGTAAGGAAGGGTAACAACAAACTTCTAGAGGTAAGTGGTCTCCAGGTAATAGAGGTAAGTGGTCTCCAGGCAAGGGAGGTAACGTGTGATAATCCTGATGTCAGAATTAGAGGTAAGTGGTCTCCAGGTAAGGAAGGTAACGTGTGATAATCCTGATGTCAGAATTAGAGGTAAGTGGTGTCCAGGTAAGGGAGATAACGTATGATAATCCTGATGTCAGAATTATGTAAACTTGCTACCCCCATATACGATGTTTCAGAGAGATGGCTCTTAAAAGTCGTCAAGGGGTGACCTGGTATCATCTGTGGACTTGACACCTTAGTCACATGATTCTGACAGTCGTTATTATTAACCACCTAAAATTGTTCAGAACCAAATTTTGCAGTAACAACTTTTAACTAACTGGTAAATCAATGGGTTAGCAAACATTTCACCAGCTTCTTGGCATTTAAAATCATTAATGTGTCGACAACAGATGTTGCTCAGTTCGTCTTAACCTGAGAAAGAATTAATTTTGTCCCAGAACTGTTAACATCTGGGAAAGCCTGTCACCTGAGAGTATGTCGTCAAGAACTATCAAATCTTACAAGTCTTGCCTAGACCATCACTGGAGAAACCAATATAATTATAGAGAACAAATTTTATTATCAAGCAATAGTTAAATATATGAACTGAATGTACTTTCTGATAATTAATTATCAAATGAATGTTGTGAACACATGTAATTACTCTAATTGGGAACATATGCATTTATCACTTTTATTTGCTCTTGTTGTCACTCATTGACACTTTTACTTGTATTCAGATTTCACAATTACCATTGACAGAGCCTGGGATCTAAAGATGAAGCTGTACCTGCTGTGTTATTGGACCATGCACCAGATACACTGCGTACACGAGAACGTCTTAGTCACATGGCTGCTGAGTTTCATTACCGGAACGGTAACGAAGTTCGCATGTTGGTGAACCTGGAGCGCCTGGAACACCTGAGTGACCGTATAAACTTCCTCAAAAACAAGGGCTACTTTGACCAGGCAGGCACACTTCTCCAAAAGGAAGGTTGGTATTCAATTATTAGCTCACATGGCCCAAAGGGACAAGTGAGCTTATGCCGTGATGTGGTATGCCTCCGTCTGTCCGGCGTCAACTTTTTAGCCCACCATCATCTGATGGTGGGCTATTCAAATCACCCTGCGTCCGTGGTCCGTCGTCCGTCCATTCGTCGTCCATCAGTCCTTAAACAATTCTTGTTATCGGTATTTCTCAAGAAGTACCAGTGGGATCTTTCTCAAATTTAATATGTGGGTTCCCCTTGGTCCTTAGCTGTACAGGGCAACTTTTGAGACTGATCGGATAAACAACATGGCTGACAGGCAGCCATCTTGGATTTTGATAGTGAAAGTTTGTTATCGCTATTTCTCGGAAAGTACCAGAGGGATCTTTCTCAAATTTTATATGTAGGTTCCCCTAGTTCCCTTGTTGTGCAGCAGTGCCTGAAATGGACGGTCCCCTGCTCGCCAATGGCAGTTAAAGTCTTGCTAGAGCGACCAAAAGTTGTCAAAAGTGAGGTAGTCACTGGCCCATCAA